GGGAGTACCCCCCCCCCCCCTCCCGGGCAATAATGCTATGACAATTATGTTAATTATTCGCACATCTAGTATAGACAAAGACAGCTAAACTGAGGTCTTTACTGTGATTTATATTATGAATTATCTCTTAATCTCTTTCTACATAAAATAATATATCATTTATACTGACTACAATAATCAGGTTATACTCGGGTAACTGATTCAAATAAGATAAGATTTGTTTTAATTTTTAGTTCTTATGTCAAGTTAGATTGAACGTCTTTTTAGTATTACTTCATTCGATTAAAGAGTTCTAATATCTTAGATCTGCCAAGTATTACAGCCTCCAAACCAAGGAAAGTATATTTTTCACACTTAAAACAAAAATAAGAGTTCGAACTTCATCTGCGGAAGATCAATCGTGCGGCGCATGCTTTTGTTTAGAACAGGAAATATTTACGAAGTAAATAGATTTAACTTTATGTCAAGTAAAGGTCGCGCGTGGTACTAGAGGTATCATTTTCACTACGGTGACAAACATATAATGCACGAAAGACAGTACTTTTAATGTCAAGTTCTTTCTTGTAGGATAAAAAGAAATTTGTATTAAGACGCCGTTAACTACAACCACCTTGCACACTTTCTTTAATTGTTCAGTTAACTAGCACCAGGATTGTTTTAATGTACTATTCTCCTAAGGAAATACAAATTTGAATAGGAAAGAAAATTCGCGAAGCGTTTTGGTAGTGGTAGTCACTGACGCAACATACAGACGGCAATTCGGCTAGCTGACATAAATAGGACGTTCAAATCGCCTCACAATCGGAAAAATAAATTACTGACATATGTCCCTGTGCTGAGTACTATCTAGGGGTCATATAAAGTTACCTCGCAAAAATATAAACCCATTATAAAAATTTTAATTGCTAACGTTGGTTTCCCAGATTGATACTTTGGGGTCTATTTGTATCTTTTTGTTCCCCGCGAGCAGATTCTCCTCTCCTCTTTGTCGCCCTTCTTCAGGAGGTGACAAGGGAGAGTTCCTTCAATTTTTCATACCAAAGGAAAGCAGATTCTGCTAAGAGGAAAGATCTTGTCGCGATAGTTATTAAAAGGAGATCACATCCCAGGGTCATAGCTGAAGTAAATGGCCTGTGTTCATGCGCCAAGGCGGCCTTATCTCCGAATACAAATGGCATCTTTTGCACACGGGAAGGATTGACGTCACCAGTGCTCTCGATAGAATACTATAGACTTTAATTCCGGTACATGCGACTGAACTTCTTTGACAAATGAATGGTCTTGTTGTAAACTATCTAATCGATCGTGTCATAATTCTTAGTAAAGCCTTGATTTAGGTTGAGCTAGGAATTATAGAATTTTGAAACAATCATTTATTGGAAGTCCAAAACGAAAGAAAATGTTTGTAAAAGATCTAAAAGTGTTAGTTTCGGGCAGAGATGTTTTTGATTTCTTTCACGCGTTTGCTACAAACATTTCAGTGTTGTATTTCAGCACAGAAAATACCAAAGGACATCCGATTCTCTACTCGACGAAAACAATAGAATGAGTTACTGAAATTCGTGAAAAAACTTACCGAATCGTGTCTTTAATTGTCTTCGTAAGTGTGAAGTCTTCTGATTGCTGACCCTCGGTTGTTGTAACGACACAGTTTTATAGTGAAAGGCTACCTTCAACAATAAACGGATACTATGTCAGTCTATGTCACCTTTTGATACCACCGATAAAAGCTTCACTAAAGAGGAAAACCATATGCATATCCGACCAATGACGTCCTGGGATTCGTGCATGACGCACACAGGAGTCTTGAGGGTGGGGTTGGATCTCTCTTGCGGGCTTCCTCTGGCAGCCAGTGGGCCGAAAATCAGAAAAAATAAAAATATAGAACCCTAAGGAGAGAATATATGGGAATACATGGAGGTGGAAGTAAATCGCAAAACCAGATGATAAATAACATAGATAAAAAGAAACCTTTAATGCACAAATATGGTTTAACTGCTCATAAGCAGTATCAAAGGTCCTTTCACTGGATATGAACGTACTCCATTAAAGCAATGACTATTTCACATCCATCGAAAGGACCTTTTTCATAATGGAATTATATTCAGTCGGCTAGATGTCGTACCCTACGATAGTCTAAATTAAGCTATAAAAAATATCTATATGTATAAATATGAGTAAAATATAAGACCACCCAATCACCTGGACTGCGAGTATGCCATCTAGCCATCACATAACGTGCTGGCTAGATGGGATACTCGCAGTCCAGGTAATTGAGACAGACTAGGAAGAGTATAATTTTGAGGCAAATTTTATTCAGTCGGCTAGTAGTCGTACTCTACGATAGTATAAATTAAGCTATAATAAATATTTATGTGTTTAAATATGAGAAAAATATAAGACCAGCCAATCACCTGGACTGCGAATATGCCATCACCTATTAAACGTGCTGGCTAGATGGGATACTCGCAGTCCAGGTAATTGAGACGGACTAGGGAGAGTATAATTTTTAGGCAAATTTTATTCAGTCGGCTAGTAGTCGTACCCTACGATAGTCTAAATTAAGCTATAATAAATATTTATGTTTTAAATATGAGAAAAATGTAAGACCACCCAATCACCTGGACTGCGAGTATGTTATCTAGCCATCACCTAACGTGCTGGCTACATGGGATACTCGCAGTCCAGGTGATTGGGTCGTCTTATATTTTACTCATATTTAAACACATAAACAGACTAGGGAGACTATAGTTGTCAGGCAAATTTTATTCAGTCGGCTAGTAGTCGTACTCTACGATAGCATAAATTAAGCTATAATAAATATTTATGTGTTTAAGTATGACTAATTCAATCATCTAGACCACCATCAGGTTCGAATTCCATACGCCGCCTCAGCTCACCTTGAAATTGAATTTTTATTATTTTTTAAAATGTCTGATGTGATTTCGTGTACAATTGCGTTATGATATAACCAACTGCTAGAATAAAGAATATTAGAATTAGCTAGGGAATGTATGGTGTCATTGAGGAAAACACATCCCGGGCGAAGAGTGCATCTCACATTCACCTGACACCTCTAATTACATACATTTACTGTAATTTATTTGGTCCTTAATCGCCCGGGATGTAGTCTTTAATCGTACCTTGAATGCTTCACATTTAAAGCCATTTTGAAGATTATTTTCCGATTCCTACCACTTAAAGGATACATAAAGCAAAAGAGTAGATCCTGTGAGAGCGTTATAAAAATAAAGGTGCAGACCAATCTAGCTGTAGACATCCTTTTTATCCGATACAACAGGCTGCCATATTATTTTTTCGGGCTCGACTTCTCAACGGATAGAAGGTAAGTCTGGATTTACATTAGTTATATAGAAGTGCAGTTTAGCTTTCTTAAAGGTTCAAGGACAATAGCCTGGGTTGGCGGGATATCGTGTGATTCGACAATAGCGCGCCGCAAATAAGAAGTAACAACATGTTACGATTGATCCATATACCATATATAGAAACCGTGTTTGGATAATCCTTATCATTTCATAGATCACTCCTGCGTGGTATCAAAGTAACAGCGCGGCTAAAGCATACATCGCATTGAATTTTAATATGTTTGGTTATCTGCCTTTGCGGGGAAAGGTGCGACACTTTCAATAAGCTCGTGTCCAAAGTTTGGCCCCACAAAGGCCAATCGTAGTACCTAGTACCTTGGGGAGGTGGGTCTGCTGTGTAGGCGTACACGTGGCTTGCTGGTCCATACTTTTGATGCTCTTAAAACCATTTCCTTTACGACCAAAACAAAACAAATAACACCATTGATCCCCATTTCACTTGCTCTTTTAGAATTTGTTAGTTTTTGCTTCAAAATCCAAAATTGTGGAAAATCAGGATCTGGATTCTTTTCTTGGATCGGACTTTTTCTATGTGGATTGTCGGAACATGCCAAAATCTTACTTTAGTATTTTGACTTGAAATCTTAATGAAAAGTCTAACATAACCAGAAAATTTACTTTGACGCAGTTATTTTGTAAGATTAATGAAACATTATGGCTGATATGAGAAGGATACGTTAAGGGGTAAGACTGACTCACCTCGGGTTATATAACGTTCATGTCTAATATCTTCATGTCTGTTAAGACTAAAAAAAATACATAGAATATCTATCCCACCCCACTAATACACTCTATTAGTGTAGCATTTATGTTTTCATGCCTTCGTGTCAAGATAATTACCCTATTGGAGTGAATGGCTGAGGGGAAAACTCCAAAGCCGCTTTCAATGCAAAAATAACAATGTCAATAACAAAACATTTTAATGGAGTTATAACTACATTGGTAAAGGTGAGTGCAAACAAAACTCCCCACGATATAATATGTACATTATCCAACAAACAAATGGAGGAAAGGCAAAGGCGCAAGATAGCTATTGTAAAAATCGTGAGATGCCACAACACATGAATCGGCATGAAACATAAGGGTCCAGTGTGCCAAATATTCAATCTCTTTACCTCGAATTGCGGAAACTTAATGACTTGTTGGACGACAATAATGACAGGGCAGTTACATTTTTTAGTTTCTTTTGTTTTGTTTCGCTTTTTCTGTACGTTATGATCTGACAGCTGTGAATTGATTTTAATGATTTTGAATTAAAATAAAATATTATTTGTATTTAATGCTTAATTGTTTTTTTTAATCTTTTATTTATCTGTTCTTGATTGGCCTTGGCTTTAGATTTTGCTGCATTATTTTTGTCTCTACCCTGATGACAGGCAAGCCGCTTTTCCCCAACRAATATAAATAGAATTCCATCCCAAGAAATATTGACCGAGGTTTTAGTCTTCTTTAGCTTGCTGGTAAAAAATACTTTGCGGATCTTCAGATCTCGAAGGTCTTTAAATCATTAACAATAAAGCGTCAAGTGAGTTTGATCTACCAATTAATAGCTATAAACAACAATAATCTCATTACCTCCAAGGTTGGATCCAAATAATTTATCTTACTTGAGAACTACGGCAGGGCCGTAACCAGAACTTTTACAGGGAGGGTGCACGTCGAATGAAATCGGACCATTGATCTTTTTTTTTCCAAGAAAGCAGAACCAAAAAAAAAAAGAAAAAGGAGATGGTTGAGCGGACCTTAAGCTTTTAGGGGGGGGGGGGGGGGGGGGGGGGGGGGGGGGGGGGGGGGGGGGGTGCTAGGGGGCTAGTTACGGCCCTGTACGAATTTGCAGTTTGTTTCTTCTTCATATTCAGCTATTGCCTCATTTACATTTTCTAATGTCTTGACAAAACCTTTTTCATACAAATCCTTGGTAGAAGTCATTTTAGAAGTCCATTTTTTCGCTCATTATTCAGAGTCAAGCTTGAAATCGTACTGTGATGTTGACAGACTAATTGAAAATTTCCGCTACATATTAATCAGCCAATGAAATTCCGAAATTTTCTAAGCTTTCGTTATTTTTCCGCATATACTTCGGAACAGTGTCGTAAAAGAAGTTGCTCTTCATTTCTTCTTTGGGATTCCTGTGGAAAACACATACGGGATCTCGAAGTGGCTGCCAGGCAACGAATCCAGCGGTAAATTCAATATGGCGCCTAGAGGAAGAGGGTGGAAGTTTGATTATTGGACAAATTAAACTCTGAGTAACTTTGAATATACCTTTAATAATGCTAAATATCCACAAGTATATAACGAAGAAACATTTGAAGTACATATTTTGTTCGCGTTATGTACCATCATCCAAGCAGAGCTGCAAAAACCGGCCGTGTTGTCGCGAGAGACGTGAGTTGTTCAGATTGAATTAACTTAGTTTGTATATATTTGTTTTTGCGTAATATCAAACAATACTAGCTTTGTTTCAGCTGTTTGAATTAAATTAGGCCTTATTATTCTATATTTTCTGTATTTCAGGGTATTAATTTTAGTCTGAACTATAGCTTGCAAGCACAAGCTTCTCCTGTGAGCGAAAGGCCGTCCTCAAATCTAAAGGTACGTTTTATCTGCTTTCTAGAACTACCTTGGTTATGTTGATAATCATGTTATTRATAAACCTTGTTTTGTGTTTGAACAAGATTTTATAATATAGTTTATTATAAACTCAAACATGCGTAAACTTGATACTTCCTTGCATAGTATTTTACAAAAGAGAAAAGTGGTATAATTATTTAATATTTTAATAGGCTTAAGCTTTTATTGCTAGTTTTTTCTTTATTTCATAACGTTGTTTTCGCAGAATTCATTTTAATTTTCTTGAGAAATGTTAATGTACTAAAATTTATAATCTGCCTTTAAAGGAACCAATATAGTGCCTCTTTTTATTGTTCTATATTCCATAAACTTTTATTGAATAAAAATACCTCCCTTTTTGGGTGTTTGCAGATTTGAACAACCCTCCCCTAGATTCCTCCAATCTTTTCCTCTTCTAAAAATGCATGCTCCATTAGCTCTCAGATTGGAAACAGGGCAATGACACAGTATCGTCAGTCAGACCAGGATCTAGTGCAGAGGCAAGCCTTGGTAGAAGTGGACGGTTTAGCCTTACTAAGTCTCCTTTAGAAAATGACAAGCTTCGGGGAAATGAGAGATCTTCATCTGTTCTTCGTGAGTACATAATTAGTGATCAGATAGACAAAACTGTATCATGGCTACGATATCATGGCTTATGATCAAAATTGATGGTATTAATTATTAATAATTTAATCTGTGAGTTATAGCTTACTTAGGCCAGCCTAGAGGTTGTTTCAGGTGAATGACACCAGATAAACCAATGAGGGTGCTAAAAATCATATTGTTATCCAATTGATTTCCAGCACATAGCCATCAATATCCCAATATGTTGTATAATTTTTACTGTAAGAATTTCATATTTATATATTATTAATAACACAACATAGTTCTTTTCTAAGATAGTGAACGTAGTGCATTGTGGTCTAGCTGCACTAATGAACCTTGTTAGTCCAGCTCAAAAAATACCCATTAACTTTGTATTTAACATTTTCATTCCATTCGTTGCATTTATCTGTTTCCATCATTTCTTAATCCTTTTTTTATTTTTTTATAGAGTATTCCCATTCAACCATGGACACTTCCCAAGATTCCCGTCAAAATTTTGCCACTCCGTCATTTCGAGAACTGAACAAGATCCAAAGGCAAGTCTTCCAGCCATCAGTGTCTGTTGCAAATGAGAGTTCTACCTCACTAGCTGCTTCTCATAGCCAAGCAAATCAGGGTCTGGTGCCAACAGATGATGAAGGGAATTCTTATCAGTTAAGAAATGCTTTGAGTGCTGGCTCACAAGCAAGAGTTACTGATAAAAGCCAAGTCTTTTTACCAGGTAATATCTGTGGTCCACACATTCCAGATATAGTTGGGTTGCAATTTGTAAGGGAATTAAGGGTCTTTTGATGGTGTATGAATATTCAATGAAACTACAAAGCAGTCAATGCACATCTACTTTTTGGCTCTGTAAATTGTAAACTGCATATACTCTCGATAGTTGTACTCTCTTGATCTGTGGTAATTTTTAAATTTTTTGGGGGTTCAAGTGGGTCCAAGTGCTCTCATTGGCTAGATAAATGATTGTTCACTCATACTTAGCACTTTTTGTGCAGTTTATTGTTCTTTTTAAGGAAGTTAAAAAAATTTGTGTCGAAAAGTATTAAGAATTTTTTATGGTCAGAAATATTGAATTTAACTTTTAATCAGTAAGAATCAATAGATCCAATCCACTTTTTCAAGGAAGAAAACAAAAGAAAAGGGATTATATATGCATAAATGGAGAAAACCCCACCACCACTACAGTATATATATTTATATAATTTATATTTTTTACTACATACCACTACAGTATTATATTTTAATAGCCAAAACTCTCAATACCAAAAACTCAAGCTATTCTATTCCTTTGTAAAATTCTATTTCCTTGCATTATCTATAGATCAAGGTAATTGTAGATAAATTATATTTTATTCTGCATTTGTTTATGTAATCTTTTCCCTTATCCATTGTGCAGTTCGTATATGTAATAGGACTACATGCTGTCCAATTTGGAAATAATTGGATGAAATAAATTCTGAGGACTGACAAAATTGGAAGAGGTTAATTGACTGAGTCAAATTTTGCAGTCAGAGGAATTTTTTAAAATTCAACTACTTCTAAATTGGACAGACATATGGTCCCATATATTGCAGATTGATTATATCATCCCAAACTATGCTAGACTGATTCCATAAGTCATAGTTTTTCCTCGAAAGAATGCGAATGGAAACGATCCAAATTAATCTTTAATTTGGACAGGAAAGAGAATTTGAAAATAATACGATAGTTGCTCATATGGGATTATGGAAGGATGATAGAATTAAATTGATCTAATTCCTCTCATTCTAAACAATTTAGAATCTACATTAGACTCTACTCTTAGAACATAAATAATTCATATAAAATACTAGGATATCAACCATATGGTATTGATAATAGGATTACCATGATAGATTCTGCTCTTTCATCCTCTTCCTATTCCTAACTTTGAAAGGCAGGCACTTAGTATTCTTCACCCTGGTGAGCAACTGACATTTGTATAATCACAGACTGACTTTAATAGCTGTTCTATTGACAACAATACCATGTTCACCTCATGAAAGCATGTTTATTTTACGACCATGATTTGGATATTTCAAGACTTTGTTCTGTCTATCAGCTCGGAAAAAAATAGTAGTATTTGGTGATCATTTTCATCTTGATTGAGTGCATCAGAATCTTATTACACGRTGCCAATATTGTAAGGTAAAAAGAAATGGACGGCCGATATGTTAACTTAGTGACTTACAAGATGGTCTATCCTGGTAAAACTCTAGGTAAAGTAGTCATATTTTTTCTTTAAAATTCTTTTGTCAATGTGTTTCTTTCCGTTGTATTCATCGTAACTATTCTTCAACAATTCTTATTACATGTCGTGCTTTATTTCCCCCCTTATTTTTCGTTTTTGAAATTTTCCATGTACGGTTTGAAAATATTACTATTTAGTAAAATCCTGAATTTTTTTTACTGTTTCTTCCATTTTCATTTCTCTTCAAAATTCTACAACATTTTTTTCCTTTCTTGTTTTCAATTTCAGCCTTTTGTCTTTCCGCTATTCTTTTTTCATGCTTAAAAAATACGCTCTAAAGTTAAATATGTGGATAGCATTTGACATGAAGATATCAGTGCAACATCGGTTGCTATGACATTATGAGTATTAACTGAATCCAGCTTAGAGTATAATATGACATACTTCCGTCAACGTTTTTACTTTGATAGAATAGCTGGATTACCGCGGAAACCAAAATAATTAACTAAAGAAAGAAGGAAAGAATACTCTCATTTGTTAGGCTTTTGTTAACGTTGCTTTGGAAAAAAAACTTGCTTGATAAAAACAACAACAACGACCACAACAAAAAGACCAAAAAGAAACCACAAAAAATCGAGCGAAAAACGACGTCTTCCTACTTATTTTTGTGAATATGAATTGTTGTAAAATAACACTGGTTGAATATTGTCTTTGACACCTTTCTGTGCATAGTGAAGTAACCACTCATCACCAACTTAGCAAGTAATTTACACTCTGTATTTCATTTTGTTTCGAATATTTGCTTTTACATTACGTATATCTATATTAGACCTCGAATTTTTTCTTCAGCAATTTTTACCTCTAAATCATRTTATTGTCGTCGCTGCTGCTTTTGTTATTGCTGTTGCCGTTGTAGTAGTTGTTCAGTGTTTTCTTTGCTTTTCATTGGCCGATAGAGTTGTCTCGATGATCGTTGCTTTTTATTCTTTTTTTATGTCTCCCCAAGCCTCTTTCGGTCACCATATAATCATGATTTTTCCATATTTCGGCGCTCAATTTCCAACGCTATTCAAATAATCTTGAAATCTCCGGTTCATGCATCCAGGCCATCGCGTCTGTTCCCCCGATTTTATTAATTATCGGAGATCGTTGCTATTGGCTACAACGCTGATACACTGGTCACCGTTTTTGTATGAAGATTACATTTCTGAAACTTTTACAGCATGTGGTCACAAAACTATGGTACTTCAGTTTCCTACTTAAAGGAGGTCTTTTGTAGAATCTGTTAATAGGGTGTCTAGCTGTGCTTATCTCACTTAGCAGAATTTATCTTTTTATGTTTCCAAAAACTACAATTAAAAATAAGCTTCAATTTTGAATTGTTTTAGTGGCTGTATTTTGACGTTATTTTWAAGCTTTTATCAGAACCTTTTCCTTTTTTGTTCATTTTTTTGTTTTATTATATTTTTGTTTTATTATTATTATAATTTTTCTAATTTTTTCTACTTTTTTAATTAGAATTCTAAGTCGTTTTCCTGGCATATATCTTCACACCATTTCTGCATATCTAACAATGCCGACTTCCAACCGCTTCCCATTGTAAAGTATCTTTAAATAATACATATCTTGCTATTGTATTATTCTTTCTAAGCAGCAGTTTGCGTATCCGTCTTGAATATCATCATTATTCACTCTTAAGAGTATGCCACTTCAGAGTCTTTCGCACTAAACTTTTTCTCGCAAAATCTGTAACTTGTGCTGTGGAGGAAAAAAAACAATTTTGATCTTTCTACGAGGCGTTTCTTTTGGAATGGTCTTGCTATTATTAGATGTTGGAAAACCTTCGTATTTCTAATTCTGTCTGGTCGTCGCGAATCGGACATGAATCCGTTCTATTTCCCATCATGTTCTACTGCATTCAGTATACTTGGAAGAGGTGGGTTGTTGAACTGACTTGACAACTAAAGATCTTAGTTCAATGATACAGAAATTATTTATTAGATAAATTAGAGACAGAATGATGGTTTGCTATTAATTTTTAACAATTTTCAAGAAAATATTCAGATTTTATTCCTATTTTTATATTTTTATTTTCACTTACTATTCTTTTTACCATTCAGTTTTCATTTATTCCCTTCCTTTTTCATTATCATTCATATTCTCCTATTCCCATTTTTATCAAAATGCGTTCTTTTACTCTTCCAGTTTTTTCATTATGATTTAAGAGAACAAATATGCATATGTGCCCGATTGAAAATGAATTCCTGGGGTGCTTTCGATGTCGCAGCCGGCCAACATGGGGTCCACCACTTTTGTCCTTTTATTTTCATGGAAGAGGTTGAAAGCGATCTATACATGTAATTATTATACAGTTCTGCAAAGTAACATACCCGACATGCACAAGAACGCACAAAAATGTGAGAACTTACAATGCTAGTAACAGTCGAATGGCTTTCCGTCTAAAAGAACGCAAAAAATATGA